GTCGCTGTGCCAGAAAAGCAAAGCCCATTCATGCTTCGAACCCTGTGCTCGCCTCATTCTCTATCATATTTCCCCTCTTCCTGCCCTTTCACTCTCAATCTCTCATGACATCTGTTTTGTGGCGCCCCCAACCACCCTGTCTCCCATCGTCTGACGTGGTTTGTCAACGTCGGCGGAGAAATGTCCACTTTTTGGGTAGAAAACAAGTCCCATAGACATGGACGGGCAATCATGCATGTATGGTTTTAATACATGTTTAATATGTTCCAGGGGCATGAGAGCGCATAATTGATCATTCATACTTTCATCGAAATTGGGAAAATGGGTTTTTTATGTGGTGGCTGTGAAGTTAGAATTTAAGTTTCTGCTGTATATAATTCAACCAACACTTTTCCTTTCACTTTCTTTCTTTTTCTACAGCTCGCCTCAGCTTTTTCCCATTATAACTCAGCTGCTTGTGTGCGTCTACCTGGGCCGGGGTCGTGTCACCAAATAATGTAGCTACAAATGGGAGTCTTGCTTCTCACTCCTCTCTCAGAGGACTAGATTTAGACTGTTTCTGTGGTGAATCATTTCCTTTTTTCAATTCTGGAGGAGAAAAACAGGATGAAAATGATGATCTCTACACCAAACGCTGACCTTTCAGACATCTAACGCCTGCTAATAGTCTCCTTCCCCCCCCTCTTTTTGTTCCCAGACGCCGAATGGATTGCCCACAGTGAACAGCTATGTCACAGCGCCCAGCATCCCTCCCTACCACCCTCCCACCCAAGTGTCACCCTACATGGGGTACAGCGCCACCACCTCGGCCTATGTGACCGGACCCACGTGGCAGCCGGCCAGTGGCAGTGCTCTATCTCCCCACAGCTGTGACATCGCCACCCCTCTGGCCTTCAAGAGCATGACAGCCAACCGTGACGCCATCCACCCAGTCACCGCCTCGGCGCTGTGAAGTCAGCTCCACAGACTAATGTGGGGGGTGGGAGGGAGGAAGGGGGAGAGAGAGAGAGAGGGGGGGAGGGAGGGAGTCTGAGACGGTGAGGACAGGAGACACCAAGTCTGTCCCCTGTGGCTTTGTTTCATTCCCACTGCCTCCTTTCTATGAAGGACTCGGCCCCCAGGACCCCTATTTGTGCCGTTCTGTAGGTGACCCCTCCTCCTCCTCCGGACTGCTACACACAATCAGACCAAAGACACACGAGGAGTAAACAGTCCATTTTTACTACAAACTTGTTGTCTGAAAGAACTTGCAGGACAGGTGTACTGAAGGACTGATGTATGACTGCTACTCCGTCCATCAACACAATTCCTCTCAGATTCTTAACTGCACACTTCTGCAAATGTCTTTGGGCAAAATGGGGTAATGTATAACTTCATGAATAAGCAATCAAAGAAGAGGGGACAAAAAACTTTGCATTAGTGTTTCAGGGTGCTTATTAATTGCTATTGTTTTTATATGTTTGTATGCTTTTTTTTGTGTTGTTGTTTATGTTTTGATAAAAATAACTGTCTTATGGAGCATTGTTTCCCCCACTTCTCTAAAAATGTAGCCTATGCAAGAGCTCCACAGAGAAGTTTATTTATTAGATTAAGGTACGTTGAATGAAGTGCAATTAGCCTTACAGACAGCACGCATGTTTAGACAAAATTGGCATTGGTCTTGTGTTGGAGTCTAGAGCATTAACAATTGATAAATGTTGCACAATGAAATTGAATGTATCTTATTAAATTGTTTGGCTGTTATTGGAGTTTGCTGGTTGTTTGGGGGAATCCTCAGCAGTTTTTATTCTAACAATATATACCAGTATACACCATCACAGCTAAAAATATTTATCTTCCCTCTCTCAGTGAAGCTATACTAAATTCAAGGTATTGTAGCCTCCTGGCCTGTTTTACATGAGCAGGAAACTGCTTTCCATAAAAAAAAAAAAAAGAAAAAAGAATATGTGCGTGCTCATACAAGGCCTGTATTTTCTATTAGCAAGCGTCACGGCTCACTAGGAAAGTTCATCAGAAATGCTACGAGCGCAGTGTTTGTCACCACATTAAAATAACCTCACCTCATTACACTTAATATGACCCTTTCTGGATTCATAAACATTTAAGCCTGATATTAGCTCAATGACAAAGAAATTTAATTATATATATTTACTGTATATAAGTAGTCTTATAAAAATAAAATTATATTTTAAGTGCATATTTTATGTTGAAAATTAGGGGATTAAAATATTTAATGCAGCAGTATTACCAAAATATAGACACGTTATTTGCTAATCTCAGTTTATTTTTTATAGAAAAGGGTGTCTTCAGTAAATATCTCATAAGGGAGTAGTATGATTTTAAAAGGCCTAGTATCTTTGTAAATAATACTTAAGGTCTAATGTCATGCATTATAATTTCCGATAATTTAAAACAGTTAAAAGTCATAAAGAATTCTTCAGTTGGATTAAAGTCTATGTAAAACACAGTAAATTAGAACAAAACTGTTGCATTTAAATTTGAGATCTGTGTGCCGGGGACACCCAGACTCCCGGGGTGAGGTGGAGTCCATGCGCACTCAGTGAGCCACAAATAGGCTCATTGGCCTGCGGTCTCCAAGGTCATCAGACATCTGACCCAAACACGAACCTTCAGCAGCCACAAAAGGGCCAAATGGGGCTTGTCAGGGCCAACTCAACATGTTCATTACAAAAGAAAAGCACACAGCCCAGTTGACAAATGACATGTTTGCAAAATGATGCAAAAATACTTTCTGAAAGTTTTTAAGGGGGGAAAGTGTAGTGTAATAAATTATGAGTGTGTCTGGCAAGCCCTGTCTCGCCCTGCAGTGGAAGCCAGAGATTAAAACAAACTGGGCTCCAGCGTGAGTTGTCGATTAACAACTTGATATTATTGCTCACCTGCTCTTTTACATAGCATTACCTGCCGCTGAGGATTCAGAGGGTGGTTGGGCTTGATTATGGCCCCATGTTTCCATTCCTCCTGTTTCACAGCATAAACAGTCCCTCCATGTGACAGTGTCAACAGTCCTCCCGACGCAGGGGCTGATTTGACTTGGAAAGCACTCTTCCCCGCATCCAGTGGTCACGGACCGTTGCTCAGGGATCGTAGTGTTTCTTTGACCGTATGTGAACCACATCACAGGGACGTGCTGATCATACACTCGCTGTACCAGCCAGACCTCACGGCCTCCCCTTTACCCTCCACCATCCATCACGTACAGTAAATGATGGTGAACTCTCATGAGTGGCATGAAAAAGTCGTTACATGCTCTGTTTTTTACCTCAGCCTGCAAACAACAAGGCCAAACAACTTTTCCTTTCAACTAAGCTACATGAACTGAGCACAGTCTCCTCTGACTCATGCAACAAAATTAAAATGTGGTTGTCTTAATTGACACCAGTATTTAAAAAATAGGAACAGTGTGTTTTCTAGACAGGAGGAATAGCTTCTCGAAAGTCTAATAATCCTTGCTCTTGTAGTCTAATGTTGGTCAGCTTTATGGAGGCGAGGGTCTAAAAGGCGTAGTTTTAAAAATAGGGGCAGACACGTGTTTATAATTAATGATGTTGAGTCTGACTTCAGTGTCATATGGTTATCTTTACTTCTCCACATGCAATCAGAAACAAGACAGCCATTTGCAGAGTAACACAGAGCAGAGTATGCAACACCGGGTGAATACAGTGCTTCATGCGTGTTCCTACTCAATGAACATTTAAAAAAAAAAAAGGACCTGACAACAGCCAGAATGTTTTCTTAATGCCTTAAAACAGCAACGTAGAGCAGACAGGTGAGTAAAACCTCTTAAAAAGAGAAAAATCAACTGTGCTTGGAAAATCACAACATGTCTGGTTTTGCGTCTTTGGTATGTACGCATGTGGCTCCCGTGTTCCATCACACTGACATGAATCACTGCTTTTTCACATGTAGCGTAAATCCTGGACATTTGAATTTCTATTAATCATTAACCGCGTCTGCATTGGGACAGACAAGTAAAGCCATGTCCAAATTGCAGGCTTGTCAAAAAGTGGAGCCACTGAATTGAAATGTTACAGGTGAGGATGAGGAACATACATGGATAGGGTGTGAGGAAAATGAGCAGAAGGGGACTTTGCCACTGAAGATTTATGATCAGTGCGGTGTGCGGGGAATTCAGGTGAAGGTTGGCTCTGTTGCTTAGCTACCAGCAATACAGGCTACACATGTTACAAGCTGTCAAGTCTGAAACAAACATACGCATTCAGCACTCCATAACAGAAAGGACAGGTTAAGCGCTTACAATTCCATCAGTCTGCAAGCCGCAGTTGTTAGTCTATCACCGCAGGCCCCTGGGCAAAAAACCAGGAGCCGTTCCATTCTGGCAGAGAGAGACTCCCACATTAATGATGACTGTCAAATGCCAACGTGGCTCAGTATAAGCTACTGCCAGATGAGGTTAAGATGAGTATCCTACAGAGCAGCCACTACCCCTAAGGCTGTGCAACAGGTGTGTGTTTTTGCATGCGTGTGAGTGTGCATATTTGTGTAAGAGATAGACTGGCAGAGGCTGAGAATGTGTGCGGTAACCCCCCCCCCATTCCTGGAGCTACATTTGCATTTCTTGAGCTTGTTGTTTTAGCTTGCACTAAAGCTATGCTCAGGCATCGACTGCCCCGCCATCGAGAGAGAAAAGACTGATACTCGGTTGGCTCTCACACAACTTCTACGGCTGACAGGTTCTCAAACAACAAGGAGCTCTGACTGGGGACAGATGAGGAGGAGGGTGAAGAAGTGGTAAACTGAAGGAAGCTGATACACTTATATCAACGCCAAGCTGAAACGTTTCCAGAGAAGACAAACACGCAACAACACAAACTTACAGTTACAGGACACACGAGTACTAAACCCAACACACACACACACACACACACACACACACACACACACACACACACACACACACACACACACACACACACACACATACACACGCACACGCTCGCACAGAGGGAGGAACCAAGTGAGGAGTTTAATTCCTTTTTATTTGTTACCAATACATGTGAGCAACTTCACAAATGCTTTTTATTTAAAATTGAGATTAACTAATACAGTTTCGTACCAATAAAAGCTGGAAACAAAGATTTCATACTAGTTAGATTTGAAGGATCTTCATAAAAATAGTCATGACAAAAATATTCAGCAAACAAACAGTACGTATGTGTGCGTATAGACACTGCTCTACACTGCAGCTGAATTCACAAGCTGTTCCTTAAAGAGCAGTTTATATTAAGATATTAGTGATTGTTGATAGAGACAGACGATCCCCTCGAGTCCAGCAGAGCTCTGGTGACGTTGGTCTAAGGAAGTGAGACTCATCTCATTGTTTCATCATACAACGTGTACTGTGCAGCTATATACTGATGGGACTAGAGTTGAGTCCTTTTGTGACTGTCAGGTAAACATGCTTTCACTCCATTCACTCCTGTTTTATTTCATTTGAAAATTAAAGCCCCTGAAAACGTCAAATATTAAGCATTTCCCTTATAACATTAGGTATTAATTGACTAAATAAGCTACTTCATAAAAAATAAACAAACACTCTTATTCTTTGAGCTTATCTCTGAAAACTTACAAAAAATATAATTTGTGAGGACTGTGTAGGTGTTGTCTGCTTAGATTTGGATGACATAAGCAAACAAATCCCACAACCCTCATCAAATTCAAATTTCCCTCAACTCTGATTGGTGCACAGACATGCGTGACATCACTTTTCCCCCCCAGCTGAGCACCACCCGCTTTAAACTGGTGAGAAGAGCACAGAAAAAAAAAACTGCACAATACATAAATCTCTGAAATAACCAAAACTGTTCATAATGTGGCAGGAAATTATCTCATTGAATTTATATAGGACTCCATTGTTCATAGTAAGTAAGTAGTAAGAAAAATTTCAGGACCTTTAAAACCTACTGATCCACTGTTAAAAAAACTGTTTTCTATTATTATTTCTATTATTGTATTGGTCAGTTTGCAAATATTTCAGCTGTTTTTAATTCCTGAGAAACTGACTTAGATGAAGATATAGTTGCTACAGAAATCTGCATTCTGACATATATTGTAATGTTGATTTGGTATTTTGCAGAGCAGAATTACGTATTCAAGGTAAAAAAGCAAATGAATTTGGTCTGATGTTACTACAGTCACTCAGTAAACAATATTGGCAATGAGGCACAATCCATAAGGCACTCTTGTGGGTTTCCTTTCCATGATTATTTTTTTTGTTACCAGTTCCTCTGTAGCCATCCAGACACATATTCATAGACCAGCAGCATCACTGCTCCACCTGTAATAGAACGGGAGACAGAGCCACAGTCAATCACCTCGTATTTTCCTGCTCGTGAATCAGCAGCATACGCTGAGAATATATATTATATTCTAGATAGACGTTACATGGCTAGGCAAATTAGGAGATTAGTGGGGTGGACAGGGACTCTAGCTCACAAAGCTTCCATTCTAACACTTCATAGATGTCAGAAAAACTAATGTAAATATAGATTTGACATTTTTGTTATTAAGCACACAGTGAAAAACAGTATGATCTAATATATCTGATAGGGAAGTAGTGCTCGTTCCTGTCTCAATTCAGTGGAAACACTCATAATGAGTTTGGGAAGTTCTGTTTAGGTTAGTAATTTGATAGTTTGTGGGCATAAAAAAAAAAGTCAACCTCAAAACTTGTTATTAAAACAAAAGCTATATCTAGTTCAAGGAAAACCTTTTACATCTGTTTACATCTTGTGATTATAGGTACATTTTTATTATCAGTGTAAAGAACTTTTTATTGTTACCTGGTCCAAGCCTCATTATCTTGGGCACCAAGCCCTTGTATAGAGCCAAGTACCTATAGGGAAAAAAAAGGATGTTAATAATGTACAAATACAAAACAGTAGTTAAAATTAAAAGTATGTTAAGATTTCAGTTTTTATCCATGCATGCCTTTAGTATGTGTGTGTACTTGGATGTGTATAGGCTGGAGTGCAGCAGTGTGTTCTTGCCTGGCTGTCTGTCTGCTGCCCTGCCTGTCTCTCACCCCGTCAGGTACATAGTTGGGGTCTAACGGCCAGCGGAGGCGAAGATCTGCCCCTTAATGCATTCAAGGTGATCAGTGGCTGCCTGCCTCCGCCTCGTGCTCCCTGTCCCGCTCCCTACCCCCGCCACTGATGGCGTTAATAAGGCTCGACCCACTTCCTCCCTGGCCCTCTGTCTGATTAGATTGACCCGTGGAGCGCCGCGCGGCTCGTTAGGGTCTGCTTAACGACGTCTCCCATAGGGACCACTAATTAGCTGGGACTGTGTTGTGTTAGAGCAGGGGACTGGATGTGGCGGAGGGGGCACCCTCCATGCACCCCTGCAACGACAACGTTTCAGTGCCGTTCCTGCAGCAGCCCCCAAGGCTCCTGTGTCCACTAACTACAAACATCTCGCTGGCCCTTGTCTAGTGGAGCTGCATGGGGGAAAGTGGAAAGCCTAGGGCAATTGCTAACATAACATACATCTTTCCTTGAAGCTTCCATTTAGAGCTGTCATTCTCCGAGGCTTGAAAATATGTTAACATTTACTGTACAACTGACAGACTGCAGAAATGCATGATCACACACGAGGGGAATACAGCCCAGAATGTAACGTCACTATTTGGTTTCCATTCATCAGATCACAGCTTTGCATCAAGCTATTCATGCACTTCCCTTGTAGTTATTGTAGGAAACTCACACCACACAATCAAACCCTGCTAACTTGTAGCTGCAGCTGGTACATTTGTCTTTTCTGACAGCCAGTTTGGAAGATAACCAACTATCAAGCAGACAAAGTGCCTCATTAATTCTTGGAGGCAGCAGTGACAGGGCTTCAAGTTTTGCTCAGAGGATCCCTTACTTATCCCTCCCCTTGTACGTACCCCTCCTCCCGGTACACCAATGCCATTGTCTGGAAGCAGGTGCGGTACTTGATCTCTCCGGGCACGGGTTGGGGGCCTTGGATGCGGCTCTTGGCTACGTCAAAGGGAATATTCACACAGGAGGAGATGGTCCCGGACACTAGGCCGATAGTAAACTTCCTCATGAACTCAAGGGTAGGATCCTGGTGAAGAAAAGGAGGATTTAAAAAACGAGCACCATTTTACTGGCAACATTTCTAGAGTGGGCACCAGGTGTTGAATATGATGGCATAAAAGACAAGTAGCAAATAAAATAGAGAAAGTAGTGTCACAGAGTTAACAAAATAAATGTTGAGACATTGTGTGTGTGTGTGTGTGTGTGTGTGGTGTGTGGTGTGTGTGTGTATATATATATATATATATATATATGAGCAATAGTGAGGGAGAGCATGAAGGGGCTTGTGCATATGATTGCAAAGCTGGCATGAAAGCCCTGATCATTTTATGGTAGCGGGGGGCAGATTAGTGCTTCCTGACTGTGGTGCAGCATTCTGATTGGCTGAACAGAAGCACATGTTCTTTGGGGAGCCAAGACAGAGGATTTATAAACAGGGTGCATGCAGGCAGACTGGGGAGGCATATGGGGACAATTTGGGTAATTGGGCTGTGACTCGGCACAGGGGTATTACTGTACCAGAGAAGCCCAGACTCAGAGAGCTCTGACAGCTAATTGGCCGGGATATTTTTACAAATGACAGCAGCCTCTCTGGTCCAGGCCTTTCTCAAGCGGCTGGACACCCTGAGAGCCGAGGTAAATCAACAGCTAATCCCACTTCTTCTGTTTTTTTCAAGTGGGATGTGGGGAAGGGGGTAACATACCCGCGGCCTAAGTACACCCATCAACCCACTTCCTAACAGCCTTAAGCAAACATCTCCTCACACATTCACCTTTGAATGATGGCAGTGTGCTATCTGCATCCTCTGTACCATTAAAACGGTGATATGAGAGAAGCCTGAGCTCGGCCGGCTCAATTTGACTACGGCCATGTTTGAGTTACAGGCTCATTGCTTATGTTGCTGACAAAAGAGCTTTGGAGAAACGCCACTACCAGCTCAGCTTGTGAGCTGTCGGAGGCCACAATATTTATTCTTTTCCGCCTCAACAATAGCCGTCGTTAGCCTCTCACAAACAACATCATTCCATCAATGTACATACCGATGGATCATTCCCAAAAGCGACGGCCACAATCTAAGAACAGAGCTATTTGGGTCATCCAGCCACATAATTATCATTCAGAGGATGACCACTTGGTTCTCTGTACACCATGCGTCACTGGAAAAATGTTGAAAATATAGCAGAGCTTGGGCTCCCACTGTAACCTTCTCTTGAAAATAGTATCGTTGTCTGTTTCCAATTAGTTCATTGGGGTTAATCTAATGCTCCCAGTTTGTACATGTGGAACTGGCGTATGGTAACGTTTCCATTAAACAAAATTAACTTTTGTTTGGGCCATCAGGCTCTGCCGGATGTGTAATCTGAAACTTTGAGGATGTTATGAGGAGCAAACAGACGAGGTATTAGCGAGGCTGATCTTACAAGCTCCTCTCTGATTTTTGCTTCCTCCTTGCCATGGCAGGCAGGCTAACTAATCATACTGTCAAACACTTCCCCACTGGCGAGGTGGCTGAGACACGTGCGTATCATATAGCCTGAAGCTAGCAAAAAATTAGGTGTAGTCAAGGTTACTAACACCGGTCACCTGGCTTGAGTTTGCCTTTGTCAGCAAAAAACCAAAACAGAACTGGAGGAAGGAGTGTGATCATAGATTTTGATTGGCATATTACCACGCAGGTAGGAATAGCATCCTTGACATTGAAGTAGAAGCCAAAGTAGATCATGTTGAAAACTCCATGGCGTCCCAGTGTTGATGTTAATCCTTTATTCAGGCCCTTCAGTCCAAATCCGCCTGAATTAATTATGCGTCTTGCTTGAGCGAATGTGGAGGGTTGCTGTATTAGAGAGTGAATTCAAAAGAAAGACATGTAAAATGCTGACAAAAAAGGACTGCTAGACTAAAGTGCAAATGACCAACATGTTACAAGTTAAGACAATATTTTATTTATATCAACCTCTGTGAAGGAATCTCTGTTGGCCTGGAGACTGACTTTCACCACTTCGAATGGATTGACGACAACAGCTTCAGTCAAGCCTGAGCCAAGCCCGGCTACAGACAGCGCCTGGCGGAGAGATGGACATAATTTAGGAGTGAGAATGTGGAGATAATCTTTGCTTAGAGACAGTATAATAGAAAAACTGATGTAGAGAAAGAGGAAGACTGTCAACGGGCTACACGAGGTTGCCAAATCGCAGTTTAGTTTTCAGAAACTCGTTCCCCGAGTCTTTTTGTCTCGTCTAAAATGGAAATGTATTTCTGTGATGTCCGTCATTGTTGTCGTTTGACAAATGTTCGAAGACACACCAGACACCTGTGTTTGTTATCATTTGACAAAATGTTAGACGACAGACAGGAGGGAGAGAAAGGTGAACGAAAGGAGAAAGGAAAGGAATGTGAGCAATTAGAAAGGCCGAAAATGTAACTCAGGGAAGTCAAAAATACATATTATTATCAGTTATTTTCCAACAACCAAAACACCTTTAATTCAGCTGGTGTCATCTGATGCGAAATGTATATCCCTGACATGTATTTGTGGCTGTATATGTTTGCATGCAAGTGTGCATGCATGCATGCTCACAGAGAAGCGTAATGGGAACATGTCAAGAACGTGTCTATAGCTCATTACTCTTCCTGCCTCTTTATCCTGCTGTCAGAGCCCCGGGACCCATCCTCTCATACATGCCTTGCGATGTTTACACAGCCAGCCTGCTACGGTTTAATTCCTTATTTGTATTATTACTGTGTGTGTCCTCATTAATCAGAGTGAAGGCATTCAGCTGTGCCACACTGAATAGGAGAGAGAGAGAGAGAGAGAGAGAGAGAGAGAGAGAGAGAGAGAGAGAGCCATTCAGAACCAATCTGTAATTCACTCGCACTAATTATCTGATGTGATTACAGTACTTGATACACGAGGGCCTCTGGGGGGAAATGGGGTTCGAGGCACTTGAGGAAGAGGAAGATGAAGAGATAGAGAAGGAGGTGGAGGAGGAGGGGGAGGAGAGCATGATGGATGGGACAGGTAAACATTTCTCCACCAATGGCTGTGAAAACAAGACGAGGATATGCGTCGTGACGGGGTGGCCTCCATGCTGTGTTACAGGTAAGCCATCCATCACTCCTGCCACCTGAATAGGTGATGTATGGTGACCGCACCCCAGAAACGCAAATCTGTCTCGCTTAAAACTCTGACTCAATATAACAGAAAGCAGATTAGTTGAGAAGGATGAAACCACTTGTATATTCATGGCCTGTGGTGTAACCAGTCTACAGAATTAAAAACCGCCAAGCAAACATACAGTAGAGTTTATCTGAGCTACTGGAGTGCCCCCTTCACGTCTTTTTTGATTTGAATTACACCGTTTTACCTTGGGTGCTGCATAAAAAGGTCTATAATTCATAGATAATATAATTACATTTTATATAATTTTTTTATATACTTTTTTGATAGTTCATCTGATGTAGAAGTAAAGACACTTAATAAAAACCAGGTGGACACAGTACGGATCAAGCCTGATTTTAAACTTGAATAGGTCACCCTCAATTAAATTTATAATCAAGCTGAACACTGGCCAGATTGGACGTTGTCCGACCAGTTTGAGGGGGCTCACAACATCCGGTTCTATTGTGTGAATGATCAACGATCTGGCTGTCAGTTGATTGGTTGGATTTCTGGAATGTCGAAATTTTGGTGGCCAGTGTTTGCGGTTCCACGATCCCATATAGCTGCTGTCAAAAGATCCCACTTACGATTCTACATTCGTAGTAGAATTGTACAAAGTAATGTTGACTTTATCCCTTTTTGTCAACAGTTTTGAGGACATGGTCATCTCAAAACCAAACCAACATGGTAACCCATGCTTATGTTAGATAGATAGATATTCCTTTATTTGTCCCACAATGGGGAAATTCCAATTAACAGCAGCAAAGTGGATAGAGAGAAAAAACAGTATAAATAAACAGTAAGAGTAGGGAAATAATAAAAACACTATGTACACGAGAAAAAAGAGTAAGAATCCACAACAACGGATAACACAAATAACACAAAATAGTAGCAGCAGCAGTTGCACATGGGCAATAGATTGCACAGTAATTATTGCACATTATTATTATTGTTAATGCCGAACATTGATTCGGCATCAACATGTTCAGTGTGAGCTTAGTTACAGATCGTGGCTGTTGTCGTGAGCATAAAAGTTGCAGGTTGTGGCTGTGCAGAAAAGCAAATATAAAATGGACAAAATGAATAAAAACGCGCAGTGTCTTCCCAACTTTAAGCCTGCACTTAAATCTTATAGTCATTATTTAATTTGAAATCCAGTGTGATGGAATAAAGATCCAAAGAAAAACTGTCCCGATACTTAGAGTAGGGACTGCACCAGCAAACATTTTATTTGTATTAGCTTATGATGTTTTTAGGGGATTACATTTGAATGTCTTATCTGCAGTTTATAAAGTCATTGTTTTTATATTTTCAACTGCAAATGCAAATTACTTTACATTTGATCACAACTAGAGCCAATAAAAAACAACAATGCCTCTGTAATAAAAATGGCTCCTGACAAGCTGCCAGCTACACTGGCTTTACACAAAGTAGTGGAAACCAAACATTTCCTCTGGTCGCTCTGTTGCCTGGAATAAAGCTCATATAATGTTGGTTCAAGTCATTAGCACCAGCCTGATCAGCTGATGATCAGCAGATCTCCACGAGTTCCAACACACCCAGTCACAAAACAGAGCTGTATTTTTAAACAGCATCAAATTCTTAAATCTGAGAGAAACCTTCAGGTTCTGTTTAAGATGTAAGGAAACCTGGTTCAAAATCACATTTAAATTTGTAATCAAATTACAACCTTACAGCATAAGCTTACTCAGTATGTCACATGGTATACTGTCATTTGGTTTGACAGGCATGGTATTTTAATTTTTAGAAAACTATGCAAGGCATGCTAAATTTGACTCAGTTGTTCAAGTTGTTTTTCACGGTCTGTTACCTTTATTAAACCATCTAAGATACGCCCGGCATTTAAATGTGTTAGTTAGTCATCAGGGATACTTTCAAATGTGCTCAACACTTAACAAAAGTGTTGGTGCAGGCTCTCTTCACTTAATCCCCCACTTGAGAAGTTTACTTTTCATCCAGGCAAATGAGAGATGACCTTCTGTTTAGGCAGTAAAGCTGCCATTATAACAATTTTGCATTTGCCACGATAGTAAACACTCACAAAAGCTACAACACAACTCAGTGAATGTTTTTTTTAGGCTAAAAAGTAGAAACAATATGTTATAGTCATGGTTAGCAGGTGAATAAAATAAAAAAAAGACAAAAATGGAAAATGTGCAATAGATAATAAAGTGTACTACCTGTACCTGTAATACCTGCATTACCTGTATTTGCACATGAAACAGAACTGAAAACAGTACATTCATAGCTCTGCACTGACAGGAACATTTGCACAAATATATGTAGCTGGTAATATTATTCTTGGCATTTGTCTTTTACCAGTGTTTGACAGGTGAGCTGAAATGTTGGTTTTTGACTCTGGGTGTAACACGCTTCCTGGTCCTGTGTGTGCGTGTGTTTGTTTATTCATTTTTCAGGTGAGAGTGTATTCAGGTGTTTCTGTGTGCAAGACTCACCACACCAGGAGACAAAGGGGTCAAACCCAGCAACTTCTTGTATTGCTCAAAGGTGAAAAACTGCAGAGGAAAGATCAGGACAAATGAGCGGTCGGAAAGACACCGTGCACTTATAAACTGACATCTCTACACACATACACACCCACATTTCAAATGTAGGCACATTATTAAAAGCAACTAACTTAAAAACATGCTGGAGGTAAGGAAACTTGGGGGAGTATTGTATCAACTCAAGCAGCACATGAAAACATTACACTGTACTTTAACTTTTGGACGACAATCTCAGTGGAAAGAGAATGTTTTATTACACACTCAAAAAGGAGACACATCTACTGATTTGTTTATCTGAGCAAAGGGCAAAACGCCAGCCGAGGCGTTTTAATCGGAGCTTTAATTTGCTTTAATTCTTCACTCCAGACATTTCTCACCATCAGCCAGCTTTGTTCGCTGTGTGAGCGATTACCCCATCTTCTCAGTGTGAGTGCTTATTTCTAAAGTTCACACATCCTTGTCTCCAACATCTCATTACAGAGGAGCTCCATGCCAGGCATCAGGCCCCGTCTGCGCCTCCCCCACATCACCCCATTATACGTTAGAGTGAAGCGAGAGATGCTAAGCCTTCCTACAAACAAATATCAAAAGATGGGGCTCAGGGGAAGGCTTGCTGTAAACGCTTGTAAGTCAATATTTGGTAGGCCAACAGAACAAATAGGAGTGGCTGAGGAGGCAGACATGGCGGAGGGCGTCATGTGTTTAATCAACATGTGTGTACCATGTTAGAGCTGCGGTCGGAGTGTTTTCATATGGCAGTAGAGCAGTTCATGGTGGAATTAGAGCCCGAGCGTTGCATCATAGCGCAAGAAGCTTTGCGGTTTTCTATTAACCAACATGCACATCCTTGATCTCACCTTCACTGCTCGCTTTGGTGTCTCTGCCAGAATCGGAGGCAGGATTCCCTTGTAGAAGCCAAACACTCTGTGGAAAAAGAAACAGAATATAACACAAGTTTATTTGAAGACTTGTTATTAATGACTTCAAACAGGATGTTGACAAGAGCCGAAGCAATCAGTGGAATATTTCATTACTTGATTAATGATTTAAGTCATTTTTAAGTAAAAATGCCAAACATTACCTCGTTCTAATACTCAGTTGAGAAGGTTTGCTGCTTTTCTTTGTGATGTTTGATAGTAAACTGAATATTTGGGGTTTGGACTGTTGGTTGAAAAACAGCAGATTAATCAGATATTATTATATATTATTATTATTATTATATTTTAGTTGAGGTCCTAAAGGAATCATATGATTTAGAAATTAGGCCTTACAGAACCATACCAGTAGTTTTGCATATTTAATCCCATTTATTACAATCATGTACAATATATTTAACAGCTAACACCAGTTTGGTGTCTATATTTGGTGTCTATAATCTATATTTATCTTGTCATTGGAGGCAGCCATTTACGGATATAAATGTAAAGTAATGTGAACTCATGTTCTTACATTCAGCCAAATTACAAAACATTATACCCATATAGAACAGCTGCCCATTTATTAGGTACCATACTGTATGCATGGAGTCTAATACAACATCCCTGCAATAAATTCTGCTTTCTGAAGGTTGTTCAGTTCAGTTTTTGTGCTGCTGAATTGTATTGCATAATACTGACACGTGTTTCTAATAGTTTGTCCATTCGATTTATATCAGTGAGGCTAAAAAGAAACACCACTCATACAGCTCAACAGCACCACACACTACAGCCTCTAAAATGACCATTAAGTTCAATCAACATGTCTCACAATCAAATAAAAAACTTAAACAAGTGTCAAACATCTGCTCATTGATTTTCATCATTTCATGGAAGCCAAAGACTGCCTGGAACTTGTCAAACAATCTGTTGTATAGGATGAAAATGGTCACCACAATGGTTAGTATTCAAGAGTTGGAGTCACTCCAGAATATAATGGTCGAAATCAAAGAAGCTGAATCCTACATCTCCCATAATGCAACAGACAGAATTGTTTTAGGCCCTCCCTGCCAGGCAAACACCCATGTCTCCACACCTTCAGCTTGTAATGCAAGCTCTGTTATAAATGTGTCGTCTCCCAAGCTGAGATAACTGACATGATGGGCGTAATTATCTCAGACATGACTAAGCTCCTTCAAAAACAAACAAGTGGGTTTACCCTTTATGGAGTTTAAATTTGCCAACATCTCGGTATGGACTTTTACAAAGATGTACGGTTAATACAGGAATCAAACCCCGAACAATACAGAATATAGACTGCAGGACTAATACCAAGCTCACAAAATGGAAACAGAAAGTATATTGCTGCTGTTTGGCCACATAACTACCAAGATATATCCTGAAACCACAAACCCTGGCAAACAAGCTCTCCAGGAATCTGTGGAGGAAATGATTTAAGAGTTTATTTCAGTGTTTGATATACTGGATGTTTCAAAAGACGGTAGCTGTATAATTTTAGTCAATTTGGTAGTTTGCCTTTGCTCAATCATACGTCCAGCCATGATTTAAAACCTACTTTGAGGCAGGAAAAATAATAAAATGATACAGTGAGTTATGTATATAAAGACATATGCCTACATTTTACACAGACTGTATTTTGTAAGCAATCCATTTTATGGAGTATATTTACAGAGTAAATGGACAGTCTGGTGGTAAGATTGTAAGTTTTATGTAAATTCCTTTTTAACACACGTTAAATGTTTCTGAAATGTACACAAACAGCTTAATGATGTTTCTCTAAAATTTTCAGAATCTTTAAGCGTCAGGAAATATCCTACTGATTTTAGATCATGTATTAAATCCAAAACTGAGTATATTTTAATGCTACATTTCTTCTATATGAAAGAATATTTCACATAGAAAAAAAGCCTCAACAGTCTTTGATGTCTACATGTAAGAAGATAGTAGTAGGTTTTCTGTTTTGCTAAGAGGGCACAAAGCGTGTTTCGTATACATTCAGAAGTGCATACATGTGCATTTCCCCCACTCTTCAGTTTAGTGACAACATGAGTGGAACAGTTCATTTGTTTGAACCTGGCATATAACGTCAGGCACGTTGTCAATCAAATAAAATTTTACAGGTACTTGATTGATTTTCAAAATATTTTCTCTATAAACTTTTTGTCACAACTTCCTTCTCAAACCCCACTTATCTATGACATTAGTGGGCAACAATAAAGTAGGAAAACAGTAGTGTCTGTGGTTTAGGCGCCTTGTGTGAAACAGGGCACACCTAAAGTATCAGACACTATTGAGTCATTCACTGTTGTGAAGATAAACTGCCACTGGCAACAGCAAACCACTTTTCCTCTGCTCTCATTCTTAAATGTTGTTTTAAGGGGACTGCCTCCAAATGAAACAGGTACAACAGGTCTAAATCTTTAAACAAGGGCAACAGTAAACACAGTCATCTTCTTACATTTTGTAAGAATAATAAAGACGTTCAAGGGGTCAATTTATTTCCACCCTCCTGCTTTTGTATTAATGATTAACCAACCAACCAGTGGGAATATGTCTAACAGTGGGTTCACAGGTAGGGATGCACCGATGCACCGCTTTTTTTCAAACCACATACAAAGTGCACGTCCTTACGTTTTGGTACTTGCTGATGCAGAGTATCGATATGAATACTTAATAATACCATTACAGTTCTGTAACAAATTAAATGTTGCTGACATTGTTTGTGAAAGTTGCTTAAAATATGTCCAAGCTGCCGAAATTACTCCTCCTACCTGCTCAACTAACGACAGGTTACATTACAAGAGCACAGTATTGGACCCTGATACCTGATACGTCGCATCCCTACAACAAAGAGTCAATTTATATCTTGCAGAGCTCAGGGACCTAAAAAACATGCCAACAACAACAAACTACCAAAATGTTGACATTTACCAGCTGTCCAAAACCTTTCCTTGTTCCTTGTTCCTTAACCAGAGAGAAAATATTCTGGTCATGGAAAATTGCTAATTATGTAATGTGTTCATAACCAAAGGATACCCTTGAAAGAGTTTAATACTGGGTCAGACACAAGGATATGGTCAGATAATCATGTTTTTTCTCACTGTCAACAGATCCCATGAAAAGACCAAAAATGTTAATGAACTACTATTAAGTATTCAATGTGTAGCCAAAGCCTGATATGTCTCATTCCTCTGTGCCATAGAGCTCCATTGTTGTCCAAAAACTATTTACAATGAGCCACCTTGTTGCATTGGGTGCTCCTTCATTCTGATGAACACGGGCACTGAAGTTTATTTGGAATCCCACATACACCACCCTTCTGCTGTAAATACTCATGAGAGCAGCACATTTGCAGTTAAAAATAGTCCCCAACAAATGCACTATTTACTCAACTTTGAGTAATGTTTGCTAAAAAAAGAAGAAGCAGGAAACGATTTAGAAAAGTAGCAGGAAAGATTTAAAAGTATATATTCATTAGCTGTTTTAAAGATGCATGTCTTTACTAGGAATGAATGGGCTTGGGGCTGAGAGCTACAGACAGGGTAGGGGAGTCAGAGAGTACTGAGAGATGGGCTGACATTTTTCATTAGAAAATCTATAATATCACCTGCTTGAAACGATGCAAGTGGAAAAATCTGTAAACGTGAACAGGATCATTATAGAGAGGATATCCCCTTCCACTTAGCTGCTTGCAGGTTACAGGAAGGGAGAGAGAGAGCCACAGAGAGAAATTATAAGGGAGGGCATATTGATACTAAACACAGGTCTGTGGACAAAGAGGACAACGTGCCGTGACCGACTGTATCCTGTGAACGGTGGCACCAGCTCTGTTTTGGCAACATTCTCTACAAGTCAACAGAGATGAACTTGGTTGATTGGATCCAAGTGTAAATAGTTTTGCTGCTGGCACACATTTCCATGGAATATAACTTGAGAAAGACAGGCCAATACACTTGCACTGAAACACCCACAAGGATGACTTCCAAAAACAGCAGTGAACTGATCTATCCAAACACTGGTCATCAGGTGACAGAGCCAACCTATTTCATCAACACCTGAAGTTACTCATGTGGTGCTGGCTCTGGGTAATCAAGCCATCATTATAATAATGCTGCGGGGATTATGGCCGGGGAAATCCCTCTTTGAAGGGAGTAATTAATCCCTTGTAAACAAGTTATTTCAGTCAGACGGAAGACCCTTGCCTGTGCTCTTTTTGTCCATGCAAATGGTGGCCACAGACTTCCCGGGTGTGGTCAGGCTGGGGAGCCACCAGGTGATGAAGGAGGAGTGAAATTTGTTACAGAACAAATATGGCCTCTAGTGAGTGGCCATCATTTGAATCCTAATTTGATTTCCAATGTAAAGTACACACTAAGTCCCTTTTTGGCTTTCCTAAACAAATGGCCTCCTGACACAGAGCGAGGGAAAAGGGGGGGGGCAAATGGATATATGTGTGTCTGTGTGTGTGTGTGTGTGTAGATGTGTTTGTGTGTATGATTGGTCTCATTTTCATAAACCTTTCCATTTTTAACAGCCTCCATCCATCTGGAGAGGAGCGTAGCACTGACAGATCTACGCAGTTACAACCAATTACACAATCTGGACAATAATATCCATAAATACTGACTTCTTTACGGTAGAAATGCGTGCATATATAACATATAATTTGCATAAAAAACAACAACAGCTCTCAGTTACAATCATAGTCAGCAGCAGACTTGATTCAATTTTCAGAGAACTGCTGTAAGGAAATCCATGGGAAATATGAGCTGCCCCAGGGAACAATTTCACATGTAAACAACCAGCATGCTTTATCTGCAAATATTGTCTCTTTCCCAGTGTCTACTGTAACCTTGACATTGTCACTTACAGGGTCAATAAAACACAATTACCAGAAGCAAAAATAACACATTTCCCTAATTTGTGTATCACGTACACCATGAGGTAGAAATGATTAATTTCTATCTAAAGTACGCATAGTGAAGTAAAAATATGATTAAATGTCATATTTATGGAGTTGGAAGCAGGGTAATTGGAGGTGGGTTACTGATAATTGATTACTGGAGGATAACTTCTTTCCTGCTATAACATGATAAACCTATAGGTTCAACATTTCGGTGAATTTTTGTGCAATTCATAAGATGAAATAGTGAATTATGACATTTTAAAATGCTTTATTTATTCCTAAATATGGAAAGAATAACTGCGCACTAAAGTAAATCAATGGTTTACTCCTGGGAACCATATTTTATAAAGAATTGTACTCGAACAAACACATTTATAGAGGGAGAACACACTGGATGAATATTTTGACATTTTCTAAAATATGCTTATCCAATTACTGAGAGTTAGATGAGGCAATCAACACTCATGTCTGTAGTAAGTATAAGTAAGTATAAAGACTCCACCAACAGCTGGAAGCTACCGCCAACAGCCAGTTAGCCGAGCTTATCACGAGGACTGGATACAGAGAGTAACAGCTATGAGCAGCTCTGAAGCACACGTTGGTCCTTTTTAATCTGTAATGTTCAAAAACTGAGGGGAATAAACAACATGTCACTCATGTTTCCCCAAAAAATGTAACTATTCCTTTAACATGATTGTCACTTCATACAAAGCATGCCTGTTTCACCAAAAAATAAATATCCATATGTAATCTGCTGGACACGCTTATCTGAACGTCTTCACACTTGAATTTAGATATTTTTTGCATGGGTGGTCCCAGCTGGAGTCAACCCCCCACTCCCCCTCAAGGCTGCACTAGTTCTGGGCATTAGTCATTGATCTACTGTACGCAGGCCAACACGCTCTGCTGTAATGCATGGACCCTTTTAATATTACTGTGGCCGTGCTCTGGGTCTCGACCCAGTCTCTGGATACCACACTGGTAAAGAATGCTGGAGAATAGAGTCTTTTTGTTTCCCTCCAGACGGAAACACTTAACACATGCTCATGCTGCTACACCCACATGCAACAGAAAAAGGAGCGTGGCCTGTAAGGCAATACACCAACGTACATACAACCAAAGTGTTGGTGAGCATAGTTCACACTGTCACACACGTATGAGCACAGCTACAGGATTTCATGCTTTATTTTCAGATTTAATAACAACCTAATGTAAAACCTTTAAAATTTAAAGACATAATCCACACAATAAGTCATTTCTTAACTAGAAGTATTCCAAATGTATCCTGCTGCTATATAAAAAGTCTAAGTATAGCTGTCAAGTTCAGGGTTAAGACGGTCTTAAAGATGGTGTCCTACATGTGTACATTTCCATGTCTTTCTTCAGTTTAATCACCACGTTGGAGCTGGGAGCTCGGGTTTCCTCCCTCATCACTTCATAGAGAGAGTGAGGCCTGGTGTTAGCTCGGCCCTGCCATGAGCTGACGGGAGATGTTTATTTTTAATAATAATTCTACAACAGTGGGGCCTAACAGTATTTGTATAAGTTATAACTAAGTGGTTTGGCCTGGAGGCAATCGGCAATGTGCTACTGGGGAGTGATTACAACCTCAGCAAAAATATACTGTAAGTGATAATTGGTCGACAAGAAAGTGGATCTTCTGCCTGTGGGGACACCTACCACAGCTTTGTTAGGTGAGCCTACACTCAAATAGTTGTCATAGTTGATGGTGTGGATGGTGTGTAATTTGGCAACCATTTTATTGTGTAAGAGAGTTCTCTGGAAATTCATGTGGCACTGCTCCCAAAGGACACACCCAAAAAACATGCAGGCACAAAGCCATTACATTTCACGCTGTGAGAGTGTGTGCGGGTGTGTGTAGGGTGAAGAGGGCACAGCTACTGTAGCAGGATAGCCGTGTCTGTTGAACTACAGCCAGCGTACGATTTCCAACTGTCACTAGCCAGCCTCTCTCACCTTGCGCTCGCTCACACCTCGCAGCAGATCAACTTTATATCCGCTGTAAAGCTGTCGACTCGCCGTAAACGGAGCGAGTGGCAACCACTTTCTCCTACACCTGCACTGTCTCACAGTCCTGTCACAGGGCAGGCAGAGGAGGAGGTAGCATGGCAGGAGGACTGTCTGAAGTTAGTTGGGAAGGTTTTACATATAGGTTTTATGTCAATAATAGCTGCATTCTCATCCAATGTGAGGAACAATGAGCTGCAGGACATTTATGTATGCCGCTGACAGGCACACCAGCTGTTTTAAAGCATCCAAACTTGTAAGACTGTTTAGCTTTCCAGCCACCTTGCCACCGTACCAGTTTGTGGTATTTTAATAAATATATTCCACACCTACATATATTCGTCAGCAGATTATTGTTGATAACACGGAGGCTTAATATACATTAATATGGAAGCTATACTAGCAGCAAATAGCAGTGAAATAAATGTAGTGTATATTAGTCCATTTATAAATTCTCTTGCACTTTTTTTTAACATGATGTGCTTTTGTCATATCATGACAGCTGTTTATATTTATTTTGTACATGTAAAATGGATGGCTATGGATTTACCACTGCCATTAACCCGTGTGTATTCAAACTTTTTCTTTGTTTAACTATATTTTGTACTTAAACAACTCATTCAAGACTCAACTCAATTTCTACAAATTGCCCCTTGAAAGACAAAGTATTTTAAAATCAACTGAATCTTTACACAAAATGAATGCTGCCTAAACACTAAGCCATCTGGCACCTGAGTGAAAAAGGGGAAATGACTCCTTCCCTGCACATGGGAAACAGGAAGACTGACATCACTGGTGCTCTGAAGAAACTGTATGCCTAATTCGTGACCTTTTTTTTTTTTGTCCTACAGTTGTGAGTAACCTACCCCTCATTGCGGAAGATGGTTCGGAAGCAATCCCTCAGGCTCTTGTAGCTGGTGGGGTCACTGGTTCCGCTTTGGATCTGGAATCTGCAATGACAAAAGGTCTCATTAAATCTTTTTATCACTGTAAATATTTCATACAGGCGCTCTACATCAAAACTTGTTTCTGTGTTAGATCATATCTATATATATTGTGACACCTGTGTGTAAAATACACTTAGAACAAATTTGATCTTATCATAAATGAGCTCATTTACCTCCTTATTTTCCTCCCCTCGCCCCTTTCATCCGCCGTTTTTTCCTCCTCTGCTAAGATGAGAGGCTCCCACCACCAGGTCCCCTCAGCGCAGGGGAGAACTCAAACATTTATTTAACCCAACCGATCCAATTAGCCACCCAACTCCCCAGGACCAGGCCTTTTGCAGCAAGCTTTTCAGCTACTAACATGCTAGTAAGCCAATTGTAACAGCTCTTCAGTTACGCGTAAATTTTTAATATGATGGAGCCAGTCGAAGGACTTTTTGTTGTATAGCAAACACGCTGGTACCTCACTAATAAAGGCTGGTGAGCTGTGTGTAAATCTTTTACATGAGAGACCAGTTGGGGGTGAAAGAATGAATATAAATGGTGCCTGTTAGAGATAAAGAGTTTCAGGTATTGAGACGATAAGAAGAGATCTCATTATATGGTGCCACATGGCTTAGACATAGATCCTGATCCCTAACAAAAAATATGTTAAACTAAATGGCCTGATGAGATTACGCATTTATTTTAGGCCCACTAATTTGAGCAATTAAAAAATAAATAAATGATAGCATGGTTCAAATGTGATGTGAGGAATTTAAATTGTTTTCTTGCTAAAAACAAATAACATAAGGAATTCTAATGGCAGAAACAGAGGGAAGGAGGGAACGAGACAAGAGAAAGATTCCCTACTCATATGGCTTCAACTGCCAGGTCACAAGGTCAGCAGTAAGTCGTCCATGCGGGTGCCTGATGGGGCCATAAAGGGCCCCCAGGTTTCAGTGGAGGGGGAGTTTAGTGGGGTGAGCGGCCTTTCATATCGCTAACAGATTAACATCTTAGAGGGGTGTCCCTCAAATCCTATTTGGTGGATTCCCAAATAGCTTGTAACCCGTTCCTGAAAACCAGTTAAAACAGCATAATAAATAGATGTCTGACACCATATTAAAGAGAAGAAGAAAAAGAAGGAGGTATGAGGGTATGGTGGAATAAAGGGTATGGAGGGGGGGCAAAGACCCGGAAGATTTAAGACTACTGGGGCTTGTAAACATATTCAAATCTGACTTAATTAAAGGCATATGATGCTGGGGTCAAGGATGGAAGGGACCCTGTCCCCAGTCTCCCCCTGTCTCCTTTGCTCTGCCTGCCTCGACACGAACCGGCCCTGAGAGACTAGGGTTGGCAGGGCCGTGGTCCGGTTCCAGCCCCTTGACTCCACTTGTGACCCTGGGGTCACCTCATTTCCTCATGGCCCTCTCCTACCCCGCCATAAAAGCCAGGGACCAAACAGCAAGGCCCAGGGAGTGGGAGATAATAGGGAGGACCAGAAGAACTTGTGGCAGCAGGGGAACCGTCAGGCCCCTGGCTAGGAAGCTGCTAATGTCCCTTTTCACAACAACCAACGGTGGAAAATAAGACTTAAAGCTTCAGTCAGTCCTGTTTGAGAGGATTTAAACGGACAAAAAGCTCTAGTTTCTGTTAATAAGGCCTCAGTGACGATATTCTAGTTGGCTGAAGAAGAGCACAAGATAGCTTCCATGGCTCTGGCAGATTCACTTGGCCTTGGAGTCAGCCATGCGGATCGTAAACTCTGCAGACAGAAGACCCTAGCAAAACCCTGGGGCTTCTTTAAAACACACCGCTCGAAGTATCTCCTTCAATCATCAGCAAAAGCAAGTGGAGATACAGTATACTCAGAGGTGATGAGATCTGTGAGTTCATCAAGAATACCCCTCCTTTCCTTTCCTGCACATATCCCATTCTCCTTGCGTTTGTGCTTTACAGGCCCAGAGCTGCCCAGGTGAGGGTGAAGGTAAGGGCAGGTTGCTGCTTCTGTGAACGAGACAAGGACTTGGGGGTAAATAATCCTGAAGTTCTAGGCCACCTGACCTCCACTGCCTATAAAAGTACAAATTCTAGGCGTCCACAAAGAAGTCAAAAAGGTAAACGAGGGTGGAGTAGCAGGCCAGACCCCCATTCTTTGTATTTTTATGGACAGGGCCGCAGTGTTTGAGGCCGTGTCCGCTCCCAGACCCCAGTGGTAATGGGCTCAAACCAGGGACCAACAAGACGGGCTGTCACCTCAGAGAAGACGAGATGTTGAGGTGAGGCTCATTAATGATGGTGTTAAAAAAAATGCCTATGGGTAGGGGGTAGGGGGGTTATTGGGTTGATCAAAAGGCAGAGGCTTGATGGGCTTACTTTTAAAAGGGGCAGGCCATGCTTTTAAGGAGATCTCTTAAAAAATATGCCCTATTAAATGAGGGGTATTCCCTCAGTGGCACTCAGACCAATTTTGATGACTTGCTCACTTTAAAATTTAGGGTCTAATAAGGCTGATATGAAATCACATTTATAGCTATTCAGACACATTGACAAATAAATTAACACCCTATATAGAGATGTAATGAGCTAATCTTCAACAGGTAGTTATCTCATACTACCTATTATACTGCAGTATTTCAAATTGTGCAAGTATGAACGTTTTGATTTATGTGTGTTGCTGTGTATTTGGACTGGTTGCTACAGTGAGAGCCCTGATCTACCCATGCCTTCCTTCTAGGATTGCCAAGTGCTTTAACAAAGCAAAGGAGACAGACAAAAAAATATGATTGAAGAAAAAGAAGAACTGAATCACCAGGGGGAAAGGATGAAAGATGGTGATAGATCCAAAGAGCATAAGACAATCCAGAAGGCAACATAAAGGGGAAATCTATTTTTTACAGCCAGACAATTAATTTTAATGAGCGGGATCATAAAGATGGTAGAAGTCCATTGCATTGGTACATGAGGTTAAGAGCACTTTTCCGACCTAAATAGTCCAACATGGCAAATGCGGCCAATTGTGACTTCAGCCATCCAATCATGCTTCAGGGTAAGAGAGTTTAAGTAAAAATAAAAGGGACCCCTTTGGATACAATGGCTGCTTGTTTTGACAACTCGTTGTCAAACAGTGCCGACTTGCTCTCACTGAGTAAAAAGTGTTTGATGAATAAAAAGAGTATAAAACAAGGAGTATGACACTTGATGTCTAAGCACTTGTACTAAAGCACCGATCATGCTTTTAGTTATTTCTTTTGGAGATTTTGATGATATCTATCTAATTTTCTCCTACATGGTTTGCACTTATTGTAACTTGCTTTGGACAAACAAAGTCTGCCAAATAAATGTAATGTAATTATGTTGATTTCAACTGAACCCCACCCTGCACAATGGCATAAAAAAAAGAGAGAAAAGGATACAAGTTTTGATAGTTTGAACCTAACACAAATCTGTTAAAAGGAAAAAGTGTTTGAGCGTGGCAGGAGGAGGCCAATAAAGAAAGGCCTTTGGAGAGAGGAATAGGAAAATAAAGTCGAAGGGAAGAAGATGCAAGATGGGAGTAGAGGGGAAGTGATAAACCTTTGGTGCTTGTGACACGGCAGGCTACCAGAGCTTGATCTGGACCAAGCCAGGTTGGGTTTCACCAGCACCACAAACCTACTGGATTTGGGACAGCCCATGTTATGGAGCAGGCTGTGGTGTGGATCAGGGAAAAAAAGTTACTCTGGCTGTTAAAAGGGGCTACGACATCCCCCTGTCACTCTGGATTCTTTCTCACTCCGATAAAACTGACTCCTCTGATTCCCTATGGTGATGTTGGGACCAGTTTGCCGGTCCAGATGTCTGCTCATATACTGTGACCTCTGTGACCCGAGATCAGGCTGTGTTACCGTGGAAGAGCAGGAAAAGAGCTGCATAAAACAGCACGAGGACAGGCTAGGCAGGGCCAGACTCAGACTCAGATGTTTTGAGCATTACAAACTTCTCGTTGACTGACAGATCACTCTATATGTTAGGGTGGACTGTAGCAAATTTAGAAAGCCACTAATGCTGAAGTGGAGCAGATAGGTGGAAAAAATGAGTAGTCTTTCTGACATTTCCAGTAAGTGGTTGCATAACAGAAAGATTTTCTTGGGGTGTTTAAACTGGGGTCTATTAACCTCTGCCAAATGTTGTTAACTTAAATTATGGTGCTAATGTTTGAGCAATATATTTAATGATGGCATGTTTATATAACATACTGTATAGAACAGATATAAGAGTAAAAGTAACATACTTTCTCAGCAATTCTTCAAGTATTGCTCAAGAACTTTACAATTTCAATGTAGCAGAAAGATGCAAATCCACGTCTGGCCAAAACAGAAAAACAGAAGCCATGACAGATGATGGGAGGCCAGACAAGCTAGGTCAGGACTACCCGGTGATAGACTGACTCAGACCAGCGACAGTAACAGCCACTTTGATGTGAGGAGATGCTGCAGGATTTTGGAGACTCTCCTGACAGCAGGGTAACCACTGGGCTGGCTATAACACAGTGCGCTCCAGACAGAAGACAACTGCCCTGCATGCTTCCAGAGAGAAACCTGAGAGTCACTTTTACTACACTGCACTATCTTGTACCCTTGCTCGCCAAGACACAGAACTCTGCTGTGGGCCACACAGATGCTAAAAACAATTTTTACAGAAGCCTTTATTGTTGCTTTAAAATGGGTGATTTTAGGTCTTTGTTATATGCTTTATTGGGGGACACTTATTCAGACCGGAACCATATAATATTGTTTTGTGAAGGCAGACTGATGAGTAGAATGTAGAGAAACCATCGCCCACCCATTCATGGATAAATAAGGGATCCAAGTAAAAAAGGCTACCACTTCCGTTATCTTTCCCAGTCTTGTTTCTCCATTTAGCTTTCCTTTCATCATCTGCCTGACATATACATCTTTCTAGGACAAAACAACTCAACTTCTCAACTGGTATTACTGAGTAAGAACTAAGGATGAAGACTTCATTCCAGTACAGCC